TACTACTACCACCACGACGACTACTACTACTACTACTACTGCTAGGAGTTGGCTAGGAGAACAGCAAGAACAACCATAATAGCAACAATACTATCCACTTTTTATCTATAACGTAGGAACCTGATTAAGAAACCCTGGCCCAATAACCAAATACTGGGATTCATAATATATATATTATATATATATATATAATTAACCCTAAGAAAGACCCAGGGTTTCTAAATCAGGTTCCTACATTAATGTACTTATTTTACAATTATGCAATACTTCTTAATCGCTGGCAGGCTGCAGAGCAAGCCGAGCAGACGGCCGAGATGCTACGCCAATTGGATGAGCCGCTGTTCCAGGTCATAGCAGTGGATTCGTCACCGAGCACCCCACCGCCACCTCCTCCGAAGCTTCATCGGTGTGGTGGTAGGAATGTTAAGAGCAGTGAACTGTCTCCCGGAGGTTGGAGTCTTAGGCATGCCGAGACGAAGTGCCTAGGGGACACACAAGTTGACAGTCCTCGCCCAGACCATGGATTGGCTACAGATGAATCCAAGCCTATGGAAAGAGCTTTGCCTGCACCCCCGCCCAAGAACTTCGTGGATGGTACAACGCCTGAGTCATCTTTAGGATTGCCTTCGCATGAACCCGAACCGTCGCAATCTCCTATGCCACCTTCGCATGAACCCAAGCCTTCGCAATCTCCTGTGCCACCTTCGCATGAACCCGAGCCTTCGCAATCTACAGTGCCACCTTCCCAACCGGAGCCCGCAAACACAGTGAATACACAGGACTGCTACTTCTATTATTTGCCTTTACTTTACACGTGTTACAGGATCGAGCTAGATGGTTTGGGGTTTCTGCTTTCTTTATATAACATAGATTCTTCTCTATTCTTGTCACTAGTCACTAGTCTTTCGCAGGATCTACAGCCATCCTTGATTGCCGCCAGTGGTGGGAACCTGGTTTCTACTGGTGAGCTCGTACCCTTCAGTTCTGGTGTTGCCCCAGCAGCGAAGCCGGGCAAGGGCAAGGGGGGCACTTTGCCAGATGGCAAAGGCAATGGCACCGGGGCTGGACCACCCAGTGGGCATCATGAGCATGCTCCGAACATGGTGTGGGCCCAGGGCCCTGACGAAGCGCCAATGCTGGCAGTGGAGATGGAGTTCGATGATGAGGACAGCAGTGCCCCTGAACCCCCGAAAGAGTTGCCGGATATCTCTGAGGGGGCGATTTACAAACGCATGTGGCGACTGTTTCGCCCCCGAGCCGACGGCAGCTATCTGGTTCCAGAGTGTGTCGTTCACGAATACCAGAACAAAGAGACGAGACCAGGTGTCGTCCGGGCTTTCGAACGGTGCGGGTATGACGTCGTGCCTAATCTATGTTATTTTGCATACAATATATATCTTCTAAAACCTTGGCATCCCAGGCAAAGTTCGTCAAGAAGGTCAAGAAGACCGTGGAAGATGAGGAGGAGGTGGCGATTAACGAAGATTGGGAGTTCCTGACCGAGGAGGAGATGCAAGAAATGAACTGGTCGGAGAACCTTGCCTGAAATAGTTTCATCGCATTACCTTCGAATAGGATCCTGCCATAGATTCTGATTCTGAAGGGAACGCATCGCCGGTGTGAAGCTCCACTGCGAGGGCAAGAATGGCTTCAAGAGGACCGAGTATTATAAGAACAGTACATAACAAATCGATAGACTTGGTTTAGATTTTAGATATGGCCAAGCATGCTTCGCAGGACGACGCTGTACGACAACAAGACGATGTATTGGGCTAACACGAAGATTACCGGCACCAAGAAGAGACTGGGCTGCCATGCGAAATAAACAACTTCAGACAACAATTGTAGTGGTTCGAGTTCATGAACTTTCACCCTAAACCCTAAACTCCCAAACTCTAAACCCTAAGCCCATTTGAAAGCAAGCAACCTCCAAACACCAAATCCCTAAGCTTACGCCCAACATGTCGTGTGGTATTCTTTAGTCGTCAGATCCCAAATCTAAACACCCGAAGCTTAGTCCTCCACGCTGACAATTATGACACGATTGAACGAAGGGGCTTCGGTTCTGTGATTGGCTTTTGAGGCCAGGGTTCAGGGTTAAGGGCTTGGGTTTAGAAATTTTTGGTTGAGAAGTTGTGTGTGTGTGTGTGTGTGTTTGTTTGTTTGTTTGTTTGTTTGTGTGTGTGCGCGGGGGTAAACATAGGTCGCAGCTCACAGAGCCTCGGTTCGAGATTTTGTGTCACTAGTACTAACAGGGGTATGTAGAGTATACTACTAGTTTAAAGTACTAGCATATAATGGATTAGTACATATAAGCTTCAGGGTTCGAGGGTTTAGGGTTTTGGGTTTTGGGGTTGAGTCCGGGTTGAGTTGTAATGGGATTAGGGCTTGGGATGTCTTAGAGGCTATGAGCTTTCGATTGAACCCACAAACTCACAAGCCCCTAAGACCAAGTCCGAAACCAAAACCCTGAAGCTCACTTTGTCTTGTAGCGATTCCCCAAAGATCTTCCAGCCCTTCAACACCCAACCCCTATCCATGCATGACCTCTGAACACACGAGCTGACTTCAGATCTCTTGAATGTAAATGCCAAAGGGTAAAACCTTAATCGTTGTCAAAACAAAACCGACCCTAAACCCAACCCTGAAACCGGAAACCCCACAGGCCAAACTGCAAGTCCCATTGCTACAGGAAAACACACCGGTCCCTCGTCGCCCGGATGGTCGAGGCCGAAGAGGAGGGCACCATCGAGGACCAGGACTTGGTTATGGATTGGAGCAGGATGGATATGCAAGGTGCTTTCCCAAAAGCTGATTCACAGGGGTTTCTGATCAAGCATCGATTCGGAAGTCTAGACACAGGCATGCAACCTGATAGTTCCGAAAGCCTCCGTATCTCAATGTCTTACAAACATGGTAGTGTGGCTCTAGGCTTGAGAGAATACAGAACCCTAAGAACCCCTAAGCTACCGAATCGCATAACACTACATAGCCTGCCTATCTCGGTTGTTACTAGTCGAAAATCTCTAGAATCCGCGATACGATGGTCCTTGCATGTGGCGGTTTGCACACATCGCTGACTTGGTGTGTTTCTGGTTTTTAGAGATCTTAATTTGTGTAGGTTGGGGCTATGTCTTGTAGACGCTCGTGGCTAGACAGTGGGGTGAGTGTATGTTAGGTGGGAGATAGAGGGTTTCGATCTAAGAACAATACCCAGTCACCTGCCCAGGTGCTGACAGCAGCCTTCCAGCTCAGAGTCAGAATGGCTCGATTTCCTTGGAAGGGCTTGATAAGAAGATCTTACAGTGCTTCCCAGACCTGGAGAAGGCTTCTGTTCCCTCCGCCATCGTGCACAAAGCAGGTTCTGCTATCGAGAAAGCCCTTGCAAAGCTTGCAGCCCGTCAAACCGAGCTGAACGAGTGCAAGAAATCTGAGCTTGTGAAGAAGCCACATGTTTGCAAAAAGAGCATAAGCTTGCATTAAGCCCCCCAAGCTCACGCACCGTGCATGCACTTGAGGATGACGCTTCGAGTGGAGATGCTGCAGGAGGAGCTGCAGAAGGAGGATGCAGCGATGAACGAGGTTTGGGAGAAGGGCATGGTGGAGGGTTACGGTGGCGAGCAGCTTGTCTGTCGACATGGAAAATGAAGCTTTGCTCGAGGCTTCGTGCTGCCTCCTGACTTAAGGATCCAGGGCCAGCTTCGTCAAGCTCTTGTGAAGAACCGGAACTTGTCGGGGTCTTATTCTACAAGTCGTTCCTGCAGCCTCACGGGTTCTATCGTTCTTAGAAGTCGCTTCTTACCATTTCAGGTGTGTGCAGGCCACTCTGCTGGATCCCCGTGCCAAGTTCCTGGGCTTAACACATCCGTGTGATCTGGGTATCGGTATAAGTTTAGGGTCGGTGCTCTAGTAACTAGTAGGCATCAAAATCACATTGGTGTAGCCGCTATAGGGCTTGGTGCCCTTGGATACATTGGGTGTTTCGGTGTTGTCGGATGTTTTTGTGTGGGGTGGCTGGTATACTAATTCTTCCGAATATCCCCTGACCCTACAGCCTTAAAGCATAGCCATACAACTCCAACGATCGAACCCGAAATTTGTAACAACCCCAAAAGTGTTCTAGTCTCAAAACGAATTTACCTAAATCCCAACCCTAATCCTACCCTAAACCCCGACTGCACTCCGATGCTCAATGCTTCAAGCACGATCTAATCGACACTTTTAAAGCCCAAACCTCAAGCCTACGCACTCTGATTGCACCTCCAAGCTCACTCATTAAAACACGAACCACGTTTTAGATACTAAGCCCTGAAAGGAACCCTATATAAACCCCAAGCCTTCAGATGGCCTTGAAGGCTTAAGGGGGGAATCATGCCACATCTCGTTTCGCTTCAATCGTCAAAGCCCAACCCCTTAATCACTCAATCATAAAGCAATCTTAGTGTGTGCGGGTATCCCGATCCCTACACCTGAATTTCGTAGTGCCTTGAACAGACTCCTAAAGGGGTACCCGTGCCGAGGACCGTTATCTCCACGGCTGAAAAGATGGACAATGCTGGCCCTGCAGTCGAGACACCCGCCCGGAGCAAACGCGCCGGAGGTGAGCTAGATTCGCCTCGCCCCAAAGCCAAGGCTAAAGCTAAGGCGAAAGGAAAAGCAAAGGCGAAGTTTGCGGCTAAGAAAGACTAGGCTTTCACCAAAGGTGACTCTAGTGCCGTGCAAAGTTGCAGGCTGCTTTTTTCTGGAGATCAGGCATACAGACTATATGCATGGAGCTGGCTGCTGTGCGATCCCAAACATAAGTAACACGAGTGCTCCAGGATCAAGCTTTTGCCGAAAGTGTTAATTAAAAATTAACATGTGCGAACTTCGCACATCGATGGGTGCTGTGCTGAATCGTCTGAAATGTCAGAGGAAAGAACCGGATGTTTTTATCGAACCTCATGCCCGACTTCTGAGACTAGCCTCCTCGAAACCCTGCCCGGCCAGGTACACAGCCAGGGCCTATGCTACAGCAATGGGCTGAAGATTATGGTGATGGGGCAGGCTGCTCAGATCCCGTAAGCTTGCAATTAGGTCAAGGTTTTTAGGTTTAGCTGATACATACCGTAACAGCCTTGGAACTCGAGATGAACCATTAGCCCGACACGATAGTCTCAAGTCTCAAACTACTCGGGTTTAGGGGTTTAGGGTTTTGGGTTCCCGAAATGTGAGCAGCTTTTTGGTTTTAGCTTATATACCTTAACAATCTTGGAACTCGAGATGAACCATTAGCCCGAAACCTTAGTCTCTAACTACTCGGGTTTAGGGTGTAGCGGTTTAGGGTTTAGGGACCCCGTGCTCCCGAAATGTGAGCTGCACTTGGAACTCGACATGAACCATTAGCCCGAAACTTTAGTCTCTAACTACTCGGGTTTAGGGACCCCGTGCTTCCGAATTGTGAGCTGCTTTTGAAACTCGACATGAACCATTAGCCCGAAACCTTAGTCTCTAACTACTCGGGTTTAGGGTGTAGGGGCTTAGGGTTTAGGGACCCAGTGCTTTCCGAAATGTGAGCTGTTTTTGGAACTCGACATGAACCATTAGCCCGAAACCTTAGTCTCTAACTGCTCGGGTTTAGTGGGAGGGAAAACTACTCGGGTTTAGGGTTTAGAGATTAAGGGTTTAGGGACCCCCTGTGCTCCCGAAATGTTAGCTGCTTTTGCGAGATGGACCATTAGCCCGAAACCTTAGTCTCTAACTACCCGGGTTTAGGGTTTAGGGGTTTAGGGTTTAGGGACCCCCGTGCTCCCGAAATGGGACCTGCTCATCAGTGCCCCCATCCCCCCAATCTGAAAACATTGTCCTTAAACTGCCCTAGACTGTCCTATGACCCTGATTAAATACCTGCCCCAAAACTATGTACTTGCCAGAACTCTTGCCGCATACCCAAACATAATTATAACCTTTGTGTCTTGAAAGCTGCACAAGTATTCTAAATATCCGTGAGCAGTAGCCCTACAACCGCAGACGCCCACCGAAAGCGCCGGCTGCTTCTAATCTTGAACCTTAAGATCTTACAATGGTAGATGACAACCCAAGCCCTAAACCCCGCTACAACCCGATAGCCTTGTGTCCCTCAACAAAATGAGTCGCCAAGATCAGTGTAGAAGGCTTCGGACCCAAAGCATTAAATGCACAAGACCTAAGCATTCAAGGCGGGAATCCCCGAGATCTTATGTATACCCCAACAATAAAATGAGATCAAACGAAGTATCTAAAAGCATATGCTGACGATTCAAGTTCAACATCAAGTCCTAAAAACTAAACCTCTCAATCCTGAGCCCTAAGCCTAAACCCCCCAAACCCCAAACCCTAAACCTCTGTATCCTAGCTATGTAGGAGGGAAAAACCGACAGAGTGGGCTTTCTTTAGTCTAGCTTCCTATTCTTTCTTCAGGTTCCAGCCTCCTCGATCGCAAAGAATGTGAGAGCAGCCAGAACAGAAGGTCACGATGCCTTGGGTGCCAAGTTTTCCAGGGCGATGGCCGAGGGCAATGCTTCTAGAGATGTTCATGACATGTTGAGTACTTTCAACTTGGGGCTTCGGGTGCCAAGGGAGTCAATCACTTTTATTGCAGGGACTGGTGAGAAACCAATCCACTTGCCTTGGATTCGGCCTAGCCAATGGGTTGCTTACTTGGTGGGAAAGTGTCCAGCTTTGATGTTTGGCACTTCAAAACAAATTCCTCAGCAGCTCGAGGGATTTTGGGAGAGTTACCGAGAGTCTCACCCGGGACACCAAGTGTTTTCCTTTAGCAGCTCTAGACTACGTCGTACAATTCCTCTCCTCCTACACGGTGATGAAGGCAGGTATTTGAAACGGTCGAACTATCTGATCATGACAGTAGAGAGCTGCCTAGGCTCCGTCCCCCAGCCCAAGCAAAGTTGCAGTTGCAAGGATGACCCTGTTCTGTCTCGCTACACTGATTTAGATGTGGAGCCAAATCCGAAAAGAACGCGGGCATCCATGCAACACTGCAATTCGAGAGGCCACCCCTACCTGTCCAAGTTTCTGTGTTGTGGTATGGCTAGCTCAGAGTACAAAGAACACCCGGACCTGATGTTTGAAGCTTTTCGTTTGATCGCGGAAGACTTGGAAGTTCTTTGCACCGATGGAGTAGAAATCCCGGGCCACGGGTGCTACTACGGAGGTTTCTTAGGCCTGAAGGGAGACATGGCATTTCATCACAAACTCGGGCACTTGCTAAGATCTTACCGTAATTTGGGCCGGGACCAGGACATTCCGATGTGCCACTTGTGTTTAGCAGGAAGCGAAAATGTCCCTTTCGAAAGTGTCGAAGACACGCCGCCTTGGCATGAGACCTATTGTGTTTCAGATCCGTGGCCGGAGGACGACCCGCCAGACATCGCCAACATCCCGTTCGATCCGTTGTGTCGGCCGGCTATGTTTCGCTTGGACGTGTTTCACCTTTGGAAGGTGGGTCTCGGCCGAGACCTCGTGGGAAGTGGGGTAGTCGTTCTGTGCCTTTTAGGGTACTTTGACTTTCAAGATGATTGCACCAAGAACCTAGACGATCGCCTCGCCCGAGCCCACTCATGCTTCCGTCTTTGGTGCCTAGGATCACATTGCACTGCGGCCCTTCGGTCCTTTACACGATTAAACTTCAACTGCAAAACTCTGGATTTTTTTCCTTGGGCCAATGTCAAGGGATCCGACTGCACTTTACTTTCGAAGTGGCTTCTTTTCTTCCTTCGTGCCCAAGTGAAGCCAAAGCAAACACACAGACGATTGCTCCGAGCACTGCAAGATACATTGCAATCGTCCATAACCTTTTTCACGATTCTCCACAGTCACGGGCTTTGGCTTCCCCGCCATTGTGCTCAGCGAGCCCAGCATGCATTGTCGACAACAATCCGAGGTTTTATGTATTGTGCCATTTCAGCCAAGACAATGCAAATCAGAGCCTTTGGCCTCAAGCCTAAGTTTCACAGCTTGCATCATGTCAGTAAGGACATGTTGGAAGCTTTGAGGGGCGGTGCTGAACGGGTTATTTCACCATTGGCTTACTCGTGCGAAAGCAACGAAGACATGGTTGGCAAAATCTCCCGTTTGGCCCGGAAAGTTTCTGCACGCCTAGTAAACAAACGTGTTTACGACAGGCTCATGTTTAAAACCAAGGTGCTTCTTCGTAGGGCTGGCTTCTTGAAGCGGCAGCGGAAGCCATCGAAGCCACAGCCATAAACTTCGGAATTGTAGGGCCACTGTAAGGCTCAAGGCATTTATGGGACACCCTCAGTCTAAAGCCTATAATCTGATTCGTAATGCTGAAACTTTTGCTTGCTTCGATGAAGCCTTCTAGCTGGAGCAAACACCATCGGAGCAACTGCGCTGGTTGCCAAAAAGAGGCCGCTTTACTATCCAAGTGGGCTGAATCTGTTCGATAGACCTCAGTCTACGATCCAAGTGGGCTGAATCGGTTTGATAGACCTCAGTCTGGGCTGATCTAATCGTTGTGGTCTATAATTTTAGGGTTGGAGCAAGTGGCCTAAAATTAGGCACACCCCGAGGGTTCAGGTATACATACACACATACATACATACATATATATATACACACACACACATATATATATATATAGATATAGAGATTACAGGGGTTCAGGGTTCTGCTTTCGTCATGCCCGGGCTCAATTATATGCGCCTGATGCGCGTGAGACGTTGAAGTGGATCTAAGCCGGCACCAGGATAGATTACAGGGTTTAGGGTTTATGATTACATATGCATACATGCGCATGTATGTTGTGTACATATACCCATACACATATACACATAGACACGCACAGAACGACGAGCATTGAAACTAGTATTGTTCGTATTTTTTTAAAACCGGCGAGCACGAAATGGAGCTTTCCAAGAAAGGGCTGGGGCTTCTGTCCGGGGTTTATTGGTTTCAGATGGAGCTTCTACGAGTTTTTGCTGATATAGAGTTTGTAAAGATGCTCTACAAGGAGTGTAGGGTTACGGATGTTAAACGGTATTTAGCTTGATGTTGAGGCGACGTTAGGCGTTTCTGACTGGCGACGGTGATGGAACTGTTTGTGGTAGTGAAGAAGAGTTGACTAAGGACGGTGGTGAATAAGAAGATGAAGGTGGCGTGTCTCAGGCCAGTCTACCAGCTAAATATGGTGTTCGCACATGCCTAATATTTATGCCTGTGTGTTTTGTCGGTTGGTCTGCCTGGCCTGTCTCTTCATTGCCTGCTTCGCCTGTGCTTCAACAGCCGGAAGCTGTGCACAAAAGCTTGCCAATGACGAGCAAGAGATCCAAACGGAAGTTGATAGAATAAGGGATCCCAATACAAAGCCTAACAAGCAGGATCCATCTTGGCGTCGTCAAAGAACTTCGCAAACCTGTGCAGCCAGTCCCCAGTAGCCTTCTTGCCCTGTCGTATTGAAAGCTAAACTTGCGGTCCAAGATCTAATGCAAGTTAGAGTTAGGGCAATCCTGTGGGATATGGCTTCCGAGGGTACAAAGCCGCTACTTCTGTTCCTGCTTTACACCAGGACAAAAGCATGTGCAAGACGGAACAGCGGGTGCGCTCAACTTGAGTCCTCCTCGGGCCAAAGAACAACTTCACGACAAGGAACCTGCCGCTTAGGATTTCGGCACTCGAAATGTGAACTGTTATTGCGGGCATGGTGGCACTTCAGATCTCGGAGGTCGTGGTGCTGGTGCTGGAAATTTCGGTTTTGGGCACCGGGGACGATGACTATGATGGAACAAACTGGCAACACAGCAGATTGACCGTGGTAATGTGGAAATGGCGAGAAGGGAGGGTGATGATGATGCTGATGATAAGCGACCTCGTCACGCTGGCAGGTGGCATCGAGGGCAACGATGCGAATAACTGCGAATAGTGATCCTCAGCATGATGATGATGATGATGATGAAACTGCACGCACATACACACACACATGCATACACACATATATATATATACGAGCACAAAGCTCGAGCGCGGAACCACAAATACTGACCGGCTTACGGCTAAACTGAATACCGTGTTGAAGTGTCGGTTCATGTTACGGGACTGGACCCTCCGACAGCTCACAAGGGCTTAGGGTTTCAGGGATTAGGGCCTAGGGTGTTTTTGCTTAGGGTTTAGGGTTTAGGGTTTAGGGCCAGTTTAGGGCTTCGGGTTTAGGATTGAACCCAATTCTATGCCGGACGGTCTCGAAAGGGGCTTCTAGATGGCGATTCGACTATGGTTTGGGGGGGACTATAAGGAGGATCTTGCACATTCATTCTCCTAAACCGTATGTAAACCCCCAAGCTCCTAAACCCCTAAGCCCTACACCCTAAGACTGCCCAGGAAAACCTAGGACCTCTCCCTCGAGCAGCCGCCGCAGCAACTGGGAATTTTCCGGTCGCTTCAGTGAAGTAGCCAGGAAACCTTATAGGGTTTAGGGTTTATGCAGGGCCGTAGGGTTTGGCTTAGGGGTTAAGTGTTATATGATTTAGGGCTTTGGGTTTAGGTGCTTTCGGGTTCTGTCGATTTGAGGTTTCGGGTTTTGGGGAGTGCTGCTTCCAAGCCACAGTGAGTGCACCGATGCCAGACACTAGGGTTTAGTGTCTAAGGTTTTGCCGGGTTTCTAAGGGCTTTGGGGAAAACTTTCTGCCACAATAGTATGCAGAGTCTGCAGGTCAGTGAGAGTTTGTAACCCAGGGCCCCTGCACGAAGCCTGTGTCTCGTTTTGGTGTCAGCCGTGGAGAAATGCTCCTTCTCAATTTGGCGATGACTGTCGCCCAGCCCACTCTACTTAAAACGTCACCATCCCACCAAGGCCGATGTTGCAGATTATCTGTTGCGTAGGCCCTCATCGGAAAAGCATACGGTGCTGCAGAAGAACATCATTACACACTCGTCAGTCAACTGCCAGTGGTTGCTGTGCAAAACCACACATAACAAAACAATGCAGTCTGTGGCAAAGGCTTTACTTCCTTGCCCGAATCGCTAACAAACTACACCCAAACACACACACACACATATATATATATATACACACAGTTTCACTTACACTTATTACACTTGGTGATAAGTGTACTTGATCAAATTCACAAAAAATGCGGCGAAGCAGCGCACTTTCTGGCGGTAACCGCGCGCGGCCGCATCTGCGCAGGCCCACGCCGCTGCCTGGCGTGAATGGTGTCACTAAAACTTGGGTTTGAGGTATAGGGTTACTATTCGAGTTGATGCTTCGGTCAAGGCCCAATCATAGGTCAGTCGAAGCTTGGGCGAAAAGGTGAATGTTGCGGAGTCCAAGGTCTGAACATCTGCACCAGATAGACTGCCATAGGAAAGCTCACAAGCACGCGCACTGAGTAAGCTCGCTAAACATTGACGACCGCAGGTCCAGTTGAGGCTTTACAGCTTCAGATTTACACGGCCGGAAGGTGATTAACTAGGGATCCTGGAGTTCCCGTCTGAGCGGAAATCAAATGTGATGGCACGTTGACACGGTTTTACGAAAGCTCCCGCACTACTACGACGACAACGACTACTACTACTACTACTGCTGCTACTACTGCTGCTGCTGCTGCTACTACTGCTGCTCCTGCTGCTGCTGCTACTACTACTACTACTACTGCTACTACTACCACGACGACGACGACTACTACTACTACTACTCCTAGTACGACTACTACTACTACTACTACTACTACTACTGCTGCTCCTACTACCACTACTACTACTACTACGACGACGACGACTACTACTACTACCGCTACTACTACTACTACTACTACTACTACTACTGCTACTCCCACTGCTGCTGCTGCTGCTGCTACTACTACTACTACTATTACTACTACTACTACTACTACTACTACTGCTGTTATTACTACTGCTACTGCTACTGCTAGTGCTAGTGCTAGTGCTAGTGCTAGTGCTAGTGCTACTGCTACTGCTACTGCTACTGCTGTTACTACTGCTAATGCTAATACTAATCTGCTACTGCTACGAACACTTCTTCCACGAAGAATGACAGTCAGAACCATTATTGTCACAACAGTACAGCCATCCTGAGAACAACGCTTTTCGCCTTTTCGCCTATCTTATGTTTGCGAGACGACAATGCCAAGGACGACAACAGCTAGGACTCCGATCGCAACTGTCGCTGCCCGTACTGTTAGTGTCAGAACTATGTGCGATTCATTGCAAGGTACACGAACGACAGCATAGATTCCGAGAACAACAGTGAGTTGCAAAGGCCTGTGGCCGGCATTTTCGTGCTAAAAAGATAAGTCGGTGCTGTGACCCGCCCACACTCCTGGTATGTTGCAACTTTTTTCACGAGCAAGTCCGAATCCAACATAGTTCTGCCTCCAAGTGCTGAGCACAGCGTCCTGCTGTGACTTCTGCCCATGCAGCCTCGCTGGTGTCAGCACTGCTTCGGCTTATGAAATGCAAATCGAAGCAGGGAAAAGAATCACTTGATGGGGTTTCACTCCGAGGCGCCGCAAACCGTAAGCTCTAAACTCTGTAACCCTTTCTTGAATCCCAATAATCCTGGGTCATGAACCCGGCTTGGGGTTTCAGGATGTCAGGTTTGAAACCGGTATTCCGCCTCGAAGTCCTTCGCGCAGTCTGCGGCTGCGACCTCTGCGAACGAAGCCTGGAGGACGCGGGCACGAGCGCTTTTCCCGGTACATGGCGGAAGGTCTCGGGTCTGGGGCAAGTGAACTGCAGATCAAGTCAGCTTCATGTCGCGAAAGGGGTCTTTAGTTTTGCATTCAGCAAAGTCGGTCAAGTAGTAGGTGGTAGTAGTAGTAGTAGTAGCAGTAGTGGTGGTGATCGTCGTTGTCTTCGTCGTCGTCGTAGTGGTAGCGGTATTGGTGATGGTGGTAGTGGTAGTCGTAGTAGTCGTAGTAGTGGTGGTAGTAGTAGTAGTAGCAGTAGCAGTAGCAGTAGCAGCAGCAGCAGCAGCAGCAGCTGCTGCTGCTGCTGCTGTGGTAGCAGTGGTAGTAGTGGTGGAAGGGGTAGTGGCAGTGGCAGTGGCGGTGGTGGTGGTGGTGGTGGTGGTGGTAGTAGTAGTTGTAGTTGTAGTTGTAGTAGTAGTAGTAGTAGTAGTAGTAGTAGCAGCAGCAGCAGTGGGAGTAGCAGTAGTAGTAGTAGTAGTAGTAGTAGTAGTAGATGATTGTAGCAGCATCCATCGTAGTGATAGTGCTAGTGGTCGTGGT